TATTTTATACTTAAGTCCCCTAAGTATTACTTAAATTTGGTAAAAATACTTAAGTGTAATTCATAAACATATTTAGTGCTTAAGTATTGCGCAGCACTGTTAAGGCGTACTTCAAAGAAATCAACAGAATGTAAACGTGCATAATACATACCTTTTTAAACTGAATTTATTTTTGTAAAGGTACTATATTATCTTATGACTTTAACATTCTTTGAAATAACATTGTATACCCCGCTCTGTACTGAATTTGGTTTGGTCACGTTATTTGATAGTCACGTGATAAATGCATGTAATGTGTACTGTATGTAGGTCAAAAAACAAATTTCAATATCGCAAGGGCATACCCTAGTTAAAATTAAAAATTAAAGTAATGGATTGTTTCTACATAACTTGTAGTTAATGAAAAGTGCTGCTGCTTTAAATAGAATTCGCATTTTATTAGTTTAAATTTCAAGTTATCTGACTAATGTCGAAATATATGTGACCTTTACCAAGTATTTTATGTATTTATTAAATTATGCTATCGATTTCAGGAAAGCAGCAGCACTTTTCAAGTTAAGGAATAAGTCCGTTATGTGTATTCAAAAAATGGTCAAGATCTATTAAGTGTATGCCCTTGCGAAAAGGCAATTTAATGAGGCACCTCGGCGTGAAACATGCACATCCTGTAGACAAAAATACGGTAGAATTAATTCAATACATTCTCTCGATATTTTTTATATAATGGCACTAAACAAACGTTTCAGATTTGTATTAATGGTCTACCTAAGATTTGCAAATAATATTCTGTTTAATAATAAAATGCATTTTTCACTGTGAAAAAATTACTTGATCCGCCTCTCACTGCACATAAAATGCGTCATACATTACCATGATGACGTCATGTCGACAAGTGCATTGCGATCAGTGACTTGTTTATATCTTGCTGTGTGGGATTTATCTAGCGACAAAAATGAATGCAGTGGTAAGTTTTGATGTAGTTCATTACTCTTATGCAGTTTAGATTCGCAAATTATTTTAATTTTCTGTTATTGTGAGGAATTGCTATATTTGTGTGATGTCACAGTAAACTTTTCCCGTATAAATTAGGCCCCGCCCCCTTTATGCAGCCTTAACAGAGCTGCGTGACTTAAAGTTAAGTGTCCTCAGGAGATGTCTTAAGTAGATAAGAAATACTTAAGTTTTCTTTATCAAAATAAAAATAATGCTTTACAGAAGACATTTTACTCTTTCAGTAAGAAACCATGCTATTACATCCAACTAGAAACTTGTTTTGACTTTGAAATGTTTATCAACTGGTAAGATGCAGTATTGTGCAATGTTGGTGACAAAGTTGTATCAGTTGTGATGTAATACACATGGAACTAAATACCTCCATCACAAAAGAGTGCGCTTTTTGTTCGGGAAATTGTATGAGTTGCTAGGGTGACCTGACTTAAGTGCTCTAATTTTCTCAGAATTAAACTTAGCTAAGAATTGCACTTAGAATTTATATGAATATGACTTAAGAATTTTTTCTTAGCTAAGAATTTATTTTATACTTAAGTGTGAAACTTATCTTGTGAAACAAATCTTAAGTATGTTTATGAATCCCAGCCCAGAGTATTTATGTTTTCAAAGACAGAATATCCATTTACAAAATCTGCAAGATCCAACAATTCCTTCACATTTCATTGATCCTAATGGTAGTTTTGTTCAATCAGACGCTCGACTATCTCCGTAATCTCCGACCTGCTCGTCGGAGTTTACGGAGACAGCCGCCATTTTGGACCCGCTTCAAATTTTAAAATGCAAATATCTCAAGGTTGGATTTATCAATTTTCAAACAAATTATATATTAAGCATTTTCAGAAAGGGTTCTATTAACCCTACTAATGTCAAAGAAAAATATTGAAAAACAAAAAAGTTATAAAATTTGACTTTTTAAATTCGCATCCGGTAACGACCGGAAGAGTTGACGACGAACGAAAGGTCACGTCTTGACTAGTATTTATCACGATATATAATCCCTGAAAGTTTCACATTGATATCTTTTACCGTTCTTGAGATTATCTGCGGACAAAATGTCATTTTAAATTCAGAAAATGGTCCGTAACTTGGCACCGGAAGTAAATTTCCAAATTTCCTCTCGGATAAAATAACTCCAGTTCACAACACATTATTCCTGCAAATTTCATGTAAATCCATCCAGTAGTCTTTGAGAAATTGCGTGCACAAAATTAGATGGGCGGAAAAATAATAAGAAACAGTAGAATCACTATAAGGTCTTCCGTGAAGACGGAAGACCTTAATAATAATATTATATAATACAAATGGAAATTTATTAAAGATCGAATATTGCAACGTTTGACATGCCATATTATATTACATTATATATTATATCATATTATATTATATATTTGTATTGTATAATCTTTCTTTTGCATTGTACATGTATAATTTTTTTGTATTCTTAAATTTCCATTTGAATTGTATAGTTTTTATAAGTATTCTATATTTTCCATTTGAATTGTATAATTTCTTATTTGTACTGCATATAATTCCTTATTTGGATACGATATTTTTTTATTCGTATTGTATTCCAGTATTGTTTTTTTTTTTTTTTTTTTTTTTGGGGGGGGGGGGGGTTGTATCGTTACGAAGGACTTCAATTGTCAAGTTTTGCAATATAGTTTTGTGTTGGAAACGAGCTACATGTTCGGGGTGCTCAAAGCAAACTGGACTCCTATGTGTACTTGTATTTGCGTGCATGTTAAGAGACGGTCATCTGATTCTGAAAAGGGAGCCTGGCAGATGGCAAATAAAAAATCTGTCCTCAGAAATGTTGACTGGGAAGAAAATTAATTTGACTTTGACTGGTTGTACCTATAACACCCGCACCCCCACGAAACGGAGTTTTCGGGTTTAGGCAGGCTTTCCTTTTCTTCTTCTTCTTTTTGGCCCTGGTCATCTTGGAAATAAATATTCTGTCCTGCGAAAGCATGAAAATAAATAATCTGATTTAACAACATTTAGCCCCTCCCTTTGATAATCAAATGGCCGTCCCCTTTCATGCATGCAAATAGAAGCCCATTTTATGTTGAACATCCGAAACATCTCACTCATTTTCAACACGATAGATTAAAATTTTACCAATGAAACAAGTAAACATTCCCTCAGATACAAGGAAAATGAAAAATTATCTAAAACAAATAAAAAAAAATTATACAATACAAATAAGAAATTAAACAAGGCAAATGGAAAATATAGAATACAAATAAAAATATATGCAATGCAAGTGAATTTTGTATAATACAAATGACAAATATAAAATACAAATAAATATTTAAACAATTCAAAAGGAAAATTTAAGAATACAAATAAAAATGGAAAATTATAGAATACAAATGAAAAATTATACAAAACAAATAAGAATCATACATGTACTATACAAATGGAAAATTATATAATACAAATGGGAAAAAAATCGAATATTGCATCATTTGACATGACATATATATGATATGATATAATATGATATAAATTATTTTGTTTAACATATACTATACTATAATATAATAGTATATAATATAATTTATTTTGTATAAAAGTACTGTAAAAATTTCGAAAGAGAAAAAATGATCATTTTCTTTTTTTAAAGAAACTTAATTAGTTCTTCTTTTATAGTTTTTGTATGTAATTTAATCGTGGGTTTTTAATTGAATATAGTTCAATTTTAATTGTAGAATCCATATTTATTTAAGAAGTAAAATATGATGCAGAATTTAAGAAACAAAGGTGCAGACAAAAATTTGCTCAAAAGCTAGCGATCGAACCTCTTTAAATCAGATGAAACAAACCTCCTTAAATCAGATGAAATGTCATTAATTATTTAATTTAAAATTTTTCATTATACCTCCATTAAGAATACTCAAATTTGATTGGCTTGTAAGAAGGCTTTTAAACTCAATAATGACTCCAAAAAGTACCATTTCCAGCAATAATGACCTAGAAATCATTGCACGTGGGGTATAATGACCCGGTCATTATAAATAATGACCGCTAAAAATGACTTGTTAATCTAAATTCCATTCAAATTTAAAAATCAATGCATACAGTAATGACTGTTGATTACAAAAAATGCCGTTATAAAAATATGTATAGTCTTTTTATGATACGGAATACGATTGTCCTTAGATGCGTCATAAAATTTATCGTTTTCATTGAAACTTTCGTTACAAGTCAAATTCAACGAATGCAGACTTGGCTCTTGTACAGTAAAAGTCGGCACCAGATTGTCATTGTACTCGGAAATGGTATTTGTGAATTTATAAAAATGCATGTTACTGACAATCACAGAGTGTTTTAATAAATCGGCGGTGCAAAAACTTACAAGACTTGCAGGCGGAAAGTAAACAACTTCACTAGCGAATCCCGATCCCGATAAAAGACTGATAATAACAGTTCGTAGGTCTAATACACAACTGATTATTTTAGTAATTAAGCCTACAAAAATTGTCTTTACTTATATTGGTATAAAAGAACAATTGTTTACCTTAATTATGAGTTCAACTTGGTGAAATAAGGACCCGAGACCTGGCCCACTCGCCCACCTGACCTGACCTCGGCCGCTACGCGGCCTCGGTCAGGTCAGGTCACCTCGTGGGCCAGGTCTCGGGTCCTTATTTCATCATGTTGACCTCATAAGGGGTAATTAATTGTATAAAACCAAATGGATATGGATTACACTTACAAATTCATAACCTGTACATCATTTACTCTTTCAAAGAAAAAATATCATAGAGTCTGATTCTAAATTTTCAAAGTTGATTTTAAAAAAAATGTACACTGACCCGAGGAACTAGAGAAAATTATTTACCTGATGTAAAGATGTAAACGTATTTCAGATGACTTCATCGCATTTTCTGAAAAAGCAAAATTCAGTTTATTATCTATGGACGGAAACTAATTCAAACATTTTACTACTTTTATTTAAGCATTCCAAATGCTTGGATTTCAAGTTGGTAGATTTTACTGTGAGTTCCGACAAGGAAATCTACGTAAGGAATATGGAGATTGTTGAAAACCCTATTAAAGGAAAATATAAACATAGTCGTATAGGAAAAGAAAAATACGAACACAGTGATGTGCAATTTAATATCATTCACTCGAAATGTACTTCACCTCCCGATGGCGTTCATATTTTGTGGAATTTTGGAGATGGTTTGAATTCAAAAGAAAAAGTCCTTTCAACAAATTTCACGAAAGTCCATCAGTATAACAGTCGCAGACAATATAGTTTTTCGGCAACCTTCACAGAGGGGAATGAATCTTACACAGCAAGTGGAATCCTTTATATTGGAATTGTTCAAGATTTTTCGATCACTCCTTATAATGTTACCGTAGGAAACATAGCATATTTCTCAGTAACTGTTCACAATAACTTAATAAGTAGAGTACTGCGTTATGATTTTTACCACGATAATGCTAACATGAACTCCACAACATCTGCACTAGTTTATTATAGATTTACGCAGCCAAACATTCACATACCTTATGTAAAAGTCACTCTTATGAATGGGCTTACGGAATACGTTTACTCAACCACCCAACTAGCGATCGACTACGATTTGTCCGGTGGCAGTTTGAAATTAATCTCTGGATACAATCCTGTACCTCTCCCACCTGGGTTTAATACATTATCAATGCAGGTTCTACCTGGTTACATCGCAGCTGAAGCCACCTGTAATATAACAACAGGTGATAAAGTAAACCGGACTCAGTTTAGTTTCGATCATAATTTTAGATATGCAGCTTTCAAATCAATCTCTTATAAACACGATTCTCTTGGAACGATGAAATCTACAGCTTATTGCTATAATAAGATATCAGAGTTTAGAACAGAGCTGACTTTTGAAGTCGTTAATCCATGTTTTCGAATTGATGAGCGATTTGATAGACAGTATTCCATGCCAGATACTCCACTAGAAGTTTCCGTCACAGAAGACGTTATCATATATTCAAGGAGCGTAATTGGCTGTGAAGAAATGGGATCAGTTAACTGGACCGTTGAATATGCCGAAACTCTAAGTCGGGATATAAACTACACGAACATGAATTTTGTAAATGCAGCAAATGCGTCCACAAATGTGATACTGATTCCAAAATATACTTTAGGCCCTGGATTGTACAAGATAACGTGCTTGATATCTGTAAGTTATACATGGCTCGAAGAATATACATTTGTTAGATTTATTCTCCAGCCCCCGACAGCGTTCATACAAGGCGGTGACTCTGCAAGAGCAAAAGAGAAGAAAAATACTAAAATAGAACTTAATGCTAAAGATGTGTCGTATCAAGAGAAAATTGGAGGAAAAGGAAAATTGGCGTACAGATGGACCTGTCGCAGGTAAATAATGGAAAAAAACACAACTATACATGCATTCTTTTATTGTATATTTGTTGAACTTAAATTCTTAATCAGACTCGATCTGATATGTAGATGTGAATCAAAATACAGTATATAACAAATTGTACATGCATGTCTGTGGTTCATATGCTTCAATTATATATATATATATATATATATATATATATATATATATATATATATATATATATATATATATATATATATATATATATATAGGAAATCAAGATTGTGAAAATTAAAATGATTTTTTTTATATTGACATTGAAAATATTTACAATTAATCTTCATTACAATAATACAGAGATGGGTGTAACAGCAGTAAATTATTGAGTTGTGGGTCAAATTAATGTGATTTGGACAAAAACTATACTTTTTGGTACATGTTTGAAACTGGGATATTACGTTACATTCAGGTCTGACGGGAAAGCGGTAGAAAAATGTGGGGATGAAGAGGGTAAATGGATATTGAAGATGGACAAATATGTGTCATATAACATAACTGTAACAGTAGCAAACAATCTTCAATCCTCAAGTTTTACTCAGAAAATCTCACGAGTGAAACATTATATTCCTGTTGTCTCAATTAGGTAAGTGGAGGTTTAATCTTTATAGGAAATATTTTATAAATACAAGTGGAAGGTTTTCCAAGAGTCTCATACAGTAGTAAAATTTACGATGAAATATAAATATAGCAGTAATCAAGCTCGTAAGTCCATTGTCACAATACAAATTTGGAGCAGAGCCAACACGGACCTCTTCATCAGAGGTGGGATTAGGTGCCATGGAGGAGTTAGCATCCCCTTTTGACCGGTCACACCCGCCGCGTCTCCTTGTCATGATCGGGCAAACGGAAATATCCGTCGACAAATCTGTGTAAATAATGGCCTAACAATTACTAAGAAAAAATTTAGTTAACTTTTGACTTAACGGTAGATTGTGTTGCTAACAAGGTCATTGTATCGACCATAAAATTTGCAAACTGTTAAAGTGACAGTACGGCGCATCTCATCAGAAAAACAGACTTGATAAAATTTTCCGATAGGAGTTGGAATTTTTTTTACTACTCATAAATATTTAATTTCTCAAACTGCTGACTTCATTTTATACCTCATTCTTTAATTATATATTGGGTAAATTTGAATGAAAAAGCACACATTTTGCAGCTGTTTTGTCCCTTTAACTTTAAAGGAGACTGAGGATATCCTTGTATCACCACTTTATTTGCCAATAGCTTGTCCCGTTTTAGGACTAATTTGTACGTAGAGCCTTATCTTTCAGATCAAATCATCTGGGAGATATAAACTCCATATGCATGTGATAACAGTATATTGCTGCATAAGTAAGAGGAGTTGACGATAGAAAAAATTGAAGTCATCTTGTTATTCATGACGTTTTGTTGTTAGGTTGCCATTAATGTCTTTTTCTAGTGAAATATCCAAATATATAAAAACCCATGTGTCACAGTGCCTTTTATTTCGAGTTCAAAAAGATATGTCGAATCAATATAGGAATGAAAATGAATTAACATTGTTAGTTGATAAAACGATTCCGAATTCCCAATTCTTAATTCCGTCGATATAAAATTCAAAATGTGAAAATTAAATGATTTTTCAACTTTATTTCAATTTTAAAAATAATTTCTAACATTTTAAAAAAAGGGCATTCATGCATTTAAAATAGATGCAATATAAAACTCAGTATGTCATTTGTCTTAGTATTGTTTTGAGTTTTCTTGGTCTGTAATTAATAGAATAATATTGGAATGATTTACGAGATACCAAGGATGCCATTCCCAGACAATATACTGATACTAATATTAATAATTTCTTCAACAATAACCAAAATTTTAGAAACCAACGAGGATAGTTTGAAAAGATAACATGCCTTTTTTCTGCATTTGTTTTTGATTTGTTTACGAATGTTAAAGTCTAAAATATAAGTTTTCAATTAATAATGATCTTTTAATGCATTTTAATTTTTGTTCTCTTTGATATATCTAGTACAGATGATTTTTTTTGGACAAAATTTGGCTTGGGTCTTTGAAGTTTTCTTTTGTCTCAGCTCAATGGGCTGAGTTTATCAAAAAATGTCAGCTATGTACAGATAACCAACACTTTTATCAAAAGAAATCACACCTTACAATGGTACTATATATTTTGCTAATAAAAAAAATTCTCGGTCATACTTGTAATTTACAAGTTTGAGGTATTTTTTGAGAGTAATACTCAGAGGCCGCTAACATGAAATGTAGGTCATTGACATAGTAATTTTAAATTGAAAAATAGTACTACAATCATATAGGTCTACAATTTACAAAGGTTGTTTTTTTTTAATTCCTATCAGTGGAGTTTTTAACATCTTTAAATGGTTTTATATGGAATTTAAAACTGTTGAATTCGACTTCTGGGATAAAAAAAAAAAAAAACAATATAGGCTCAATTGCACGGAAAAGATATGTTTCATCTAGTTCTGGGTACATAGCACATCTAAATATAGCAATGCAAACTAAAAATGGTGATGCATTTATTTTATACGCTGTAGAATAGATTGTGCTCCCGATTTGTATTGTTTGAATGAACTTTTGAGTTATAATTATCTCCATATTTCATGTTAAACAATACGATAACAACAAAACAAAACAGTAGACACCTACTACTTTTTGAAGTCGTTCACACATTTAATCAACTAGAACATTAAATAGATTATTTGTTAGCTCTAGCGTTATAAAGAAGTGTTTTAAGGTTGCCTATCCCTTTTTTATATTAGACATGTATATACATGTCTGGTTTTTATGTAGGTGCCTCTTTAACTGTGGACAAAAAGCTGTGGTCTCAAGAAGAACTATTTATACGGTTGATTGCAAGGATTGCAAGGCTCGACGCAAATACTATTCATGGTTTCTGGAATTCCATGATTCGTCAGGAAGTAATCCCAAAAAAAGACAAGAGAATTTGAAAATCATGACCTTGAACAATGGTATTTGAATACACAATTTAATGACACTTTGGAATTTAACAGTTAAAGATTTGTTTTTAGCATTGTTGTCAGAAAAGAGAATCTTCTCGTTGCCATTGCATTTGTGCCATTGATATAATCTTACGAAACTTAAATCGACACAAAGCTTTTGATAATAAATACCAATGTGTATATTGTAATTTCAAATCTTTTCTTTCCGCATAGAAACCGGAAAACAAATTATCATTATTAAAGAGGGTGTTCTTAAAGAAAATGCTAGATATACACTATCTGTTACTCAAAAAGAGAAGTGGTCCCGTTGCAAGCGATTCATACACTGGTCGTGGTGTGATACAAAGCCTGGATGGCCAAGTGATGTGTCCATTACATTTGAAACTGGAAGCCCTCCTATTCCCGGAACTTGTAACGTTGATCCATTATCAGGTATGTACATATCGTTATATTAATTATCACACTAACATCCTACTGTAGATATTACTGAGAGGAATCAATAGAGCATGGTACATGTGCTGTCATGTCCTAAAAGTTTGACCTTAGCTTATAATTTCCCGTTTGATTCTATGCTATTGCTAACTCTGGTTATTATTCTCCAATGATCTGTACATGTAGGAAATGGAAAACTTGTCGGACCAAACTACATCTTCTAAGATGAGGGCGGTTGGGGGGGGGGGGGGGCATGTTTTTACACTAAATAATAGGGAAAAAAAGACCTAATATGACTTAGATTTATCAACGGGAGTAAATCCGGGAGTACATCACATTTTGACACCTTTAGTGAAGAACAATGATTTAGATTTTAGTCACGAGATTGGCTAAAATTTAAGGGAAATAACAGCATTCCCCCTCCCTTTCCCGTCAACACTTTTCAGATAAGGTGCATGACTCGAGATCTCTTGAAGTTACGCCGAGGGCAAGCGAAAAAGGAAAAAAATTAAAACTTATGTTTGGACAATCTTTATCATATAATGTACAGTGTATAAGTATTCCTTTTTCTTGTTGGGGTTGATAGAAAACTTGATGAGATTGAAAAAAAAAACCTATACTGAAGTAATATTATCTCTTATCTCTTTCAGGATTTGCAATGACTACTGATTTCAGGATAAACTGCACTGGGTGGAAAACTGGTAACTCTAATATCGGATCTATTTACCATCCTCTGTTGTACATTTACAAAGCTCTTATCTGGCAGAGGGATGGGGAAATCATATCAAATTTCTCTACAACTCTCTATAGTGGATGTAAGTTTACTATATATATATATATATATATATATATTTATATATTTATATATTTATTTATATTTATATGGATGTGGGTGTGTATCCCTGCGTCAATTTATTCTCAGAGCATAGGCGTCGGAACCGGGGGGGGGGGGGCTTTTTTTCAAAGATAGACAAAATATAGGCATTGAAAACTAAGGCTTACCCTTTTCCGTTGGTTTAGCCCCCCTCCCCCCCCCCCCCCACTTTCTCTCAATTTGCTTCCGACGCCTATGCTGAGAGGATGCAATTTCCTTTTACTCCACCTGAATATTAATAATTCAAAATTATAAAAATGCCCCTAGTTGTGATTTTTCTTTGTCCTACCTGGATTTTTATTATTAATTAAGGAATCACTGTCTAGTTAGTAGAGTATGCCAGGGCATCAACGATAGTTGGAAACGTGGGATAATTTGCATATCGGGTGAAGCCCGTTATGCATAAATTATCCCACGTTTCCAACTATCGTTGATGTCCCTGGCATACTCTACTAACTAGACAGTGGTTCCTTATATTTCCATTTAATTGTGAAATAAAACTGTAAATTTAGATTTTAAAAATGTAGACTAATAGATTTAAATTATACAAGGCCTCACATGTCGATATCAATAGTCCCCGCCCACTGACGTCAAACACAAAGACAGCCGCACGAGAATTACATGCATATTAGGCCGCCTTAGCGTCAGACACAAAGACAGCCGCACGAGAATTACATGCATATTAGGCCTTCTTTAGCTTCTAACCTTTCGCTTGGCGAAATTTACATTCCGGTAGAATGATCAAGAAATCAACTCAACTAACATTCAAAGAGTTATCACAGAGAAAACAAATAGAAATGGAAATATTTAAATCATTGAAAACTACCTCTACCTAGCTGGACACTCGGCACACCTCGGCCGATTCGTACCTCATCAAACCTCGGCTATATCATGTAAATCACCATTGAACCGGAGCTACTTTATACCCAATATGGCTGCGCCCTACATATACACGTGCACAGTGTGCTGAATTCGATCCGTTAATAAACATGTGATTATGTAAAGATACTAAGTGCATTTTTCATGGTTAGTGTTCTTCTTAGTGTTACCTAAATGCTTTTGAAAATTTTTATCGTATATCAGATGCATATTTATTATCGTTTTCATAGCGTTACGTTTTCCCTAAGCGGTAAACAGGCAGCCTTATCACAAATGTTAAGCGGAGACGCATATCAAGTTTCCTCGTACAGCCGAGGTTTGATGAAGGTGACGGAATCAGCCGAGGTTTGCCGAATGCCTAGCTGGAGTAAACCTGGTTAACGCTGGGCTTGGCACCGTGTCCTTTGCCCCAAGTTCCTTTTGATGGTGAGTACCGGGTGTTTCAATCTTCTGCAGATTTATAGAACCCAGTATTTCGTTTCAATTCTCCGGAACTCTTGCCACTGGTGCAAACCTACAATGTTATTCCATCTTTAATTCTGTCTTTCTAGTGTCTTACATTCTCTTTCTATTCACGACTTTCCAATAGCAATTCCGATCCGCAGCAGAACTGCCTAAAGTTTTATATATAAGGGTATAGATACAGACTTCATGGTAGTCTGCCTTAAGGGGGTACGGATTATTCTGCTTATTCAAGTATCCGCGTCTTTATAATACCTTTTTTGCATGACTATCTCTATGGCTGTCTATCCTTCACAAAATCATTGGCGTGCTATAAATTTTAACCCATAGATTGGAATGGTGTTATGTTCTAAATTTTGAATTTACAGTGTGGAAGTAAATACAAAATTTAGAACTGTCATGTTCAAAATGTATTTACTCCCGACCGAAAAATTTAAAATTTAGAACATGACAATGGGTTGAAATTTTGTAAGTTGTTGTCTTTAAAATGAATGAACTTAAGATCATGTTTCAAAGGTCAATGATGTCACTAAGTATTGAGATAGTGAAATTGTGTTTGGGCTAGATTTATGAAACCCTTGATTTATTTGTATTCAAACTGGAGTATGTTGTTGCTGATGACCGTTGGTGTATTTTTTAGTATTTCTTATTCAAAGTCATTTTTCAGTATCATGTCATCAAGGTCTTAAATATACGGGATGTTATCACCAGAATAAGCAAAATTATATTTTTAAATCTTCTTTGCTTTGAGACCCCCCCCCCCAAAAAAAATAATTAAAGTTTTGAACTTATTAACATAAAGACAAACAGGCATCCTATTTTGTAATAATAGAAATGTTTTTATCTGTGTTTAATGTTTCAGAGGCGTAGTCACAAACTTAAAAGTGTGTGTGTGTGTGTGTGTGTGGGGGGGGGGGGGGGGGGGGGGGCTCAAATCCAAGAAAGACTTAAAATGTGTAATATTTTACCAAAATTCCTTGACAAGGAAAAAAAAGGTCATCAGACGTTATTATTGAGGGGGCACAATAATATAGTAGCTATGTTTTCTATAGTATTCTATATATATATATATATATATATATATATATATATATATATATATATATATATATATATATATATATATTAGGGATGTCAACGAGTACCCGGTTAACCGGGTACTCGATCGAACGTCCAAGTAAATACTAAAATAGGTACTCGGTTACTCGGATGTATATTTTTAGCTCTACTGGTCAGAGACCAGAAGAGCTTATGCGATAGTAAGGTGTCCGTCGTCCGTCTGTCTGTCTGTCTGTCTGTCCGTCTGTCTGTAAACAATTTTTCAAAACGCTACTCCTCCTACAGTTTTGGTCTGATTTCAATATAACTTGGCACACAAGTAGACTACACTAAGATACATAATTTAGTGCATCGGTTTTTGATTTCGATGAACGGTGTTGCCATGGTTACTAAAAATAGAAATTTCTGTGAAATTCGTTTAAAACGCTACTCCTCCTACAGTTTTGGTCTGATTTCAATATAACTTGGCACACAAGTAAACTACACTAAGATACATAATTTAGTGCATCGGTTTTTGATTTCGATGAACGGTGTTGCCATGGTTACTAAAAATAGAAATTTCTGTGAAATTCGTTTAAAACGCTACTCCTCCTACAGTTTTGGTCTGATTTCAATATAACTTGGCACACAAGTAGACTACTCTAAGATACATAATTTAGTGCATCGGTTTTTGATTTCGATGAACGGTGTTGCCATGGTTACTAAAAATAGAAATTTCAGTGAAATTCCTTTAAAACACTACTCCTCCTACAGTTTTGGTCTGATTTCAATATAACTTGGCACACAAGTAGACTACACTAAGATGCATAATTTAGTGCATCGGTTTTTGATTTCGATGAATGGTGTTGCCATGGTTACTAAAAATAGAAATTTCTGTGAAATTCCTTTAAAACGCTACTCCTCCTACAGTTTTGGTCTGATTTCAATATAACTTGGCACACAGGTAGACTACACTGAGATACATAATTTAGTGCATCGGTTTTTGATTTCGATGAACGGTGTTGCCATGGTTACTAAAAATAGAAATTTCTGTGAAATTCCTTTAAAACGCTACTACTCCTACAGTTTTAGTCTGATTTCAATATAACTTGGCACACAAGTAGACTACACTAAGATACATAATTTAGTGCATCGGTTTTTGATTTCAATGAACGATGTTGTCATGGTTACTAAAATAGAAATTTCTGTGAAATTCCTTTAAAACGCTACTCCTCCTTCAGTTTTGGTCTGATATTAAAATAACTTGGCACACAAGTAGACTTCATTCAGATACATTATTCTATTATTGCTGCATGTTGCAAAGTTTCAAATCCAAGTGCTACTTTTCCTTTGTTATATGTACAGACCAGTAGAGCTACAGTCTCATCAGAGACTTCTGGTTTCATATTTCAATATTATATATATATATATATATATATATATATATATATATATATATATATATATATATATATATATATATATAAAGCAGGTATAAAGTATATTACATAACTATTACTTCAAGAGAAATGCTTACTCAGTTGTTGCTGGAAATAAAATGAATTTGCCATAAAATGAGGTTTACTATAATTTCAACATAGCTGTGATTTTGTTCTACATTAAGTGGGGGGGGGCACAGACATACTCTTGCCCCCCATATCTGAAAGTGGGGGGGGGGGGGGCTAGTGCCCCCGCTTCCCCCCCCCCCTGTGACTACGCCTATGTGTTTATGAAAATATGAAAAACATTAATTCAAAGGGAAGTGATCTTTGTCGTCTTGTAACAGCTTATATGATCAAATTTAGAGCCTATTGCAAGAAAATAATAATAAAATAAAGTGAACAAAAATTTAAGAATAGGCACTAAAAGGAAAATAGTTGTAATTTTAAAAGTTATGCTGATATTTTTTTCATGAAAGATGAAAGCTCTATCGGAAATTTGAAATTGCCAACTGGACCAGAAGACATCGTTAATATCACGGTGGAAATCATTGATCACCTTGGAGAACTGAGTGACTGGTCACGCAATGTAACGGTATATAATTATACATTTCTTACACATCAAGATACGAGATAGCTGCAGAACTGTAGCTCTGGTTGAGAAAATTCGGACAGATAAACGAGAGCTACAGATCCAAGAATTGTAAAAACCTTAGATTTCCTTCGCCGATTTCTTGTCGCTCGCTTCGGAATTATTTCTTGTATGCGTTTCCCCACTAAAACCATGGTATCGGTTATTTACCCATGTATTTTATTCATAATCGTGCTACTTGATTTACTTTTAACGGTTCCAAACAGTTATCATAGCCTTTGAATGTAAGTTGTAAAAATATGCATTGCGACGTCAATGTTGGGGTCGTGTTTATCAAAGAACACACTGATGTCGAGCAAATCTAAATAAAATTTTTAATGGATGTCACATTTCGTCTACGTCGTCTATAAAAGAAGTCAAAAGAAGTGGGAACGCAATTAATAAAAGAATATTACCAGGAGCGAGTAACAACAACGTAGCAGCGTAAATCGACAGCTTTTACAGTGGATGGATCTGTAGCTCTCTGGTTTATATCTCCGAATTTTATCAACCAGAGAGCTAAAGTTTTGCAGCTAGATACGAGACCAAAGAGTTCAGTTTGTTCCGTGAATTATGAATTATTTTAAGTCTTTTAGAAGGCTCCAAATCGTACTTGATTTCATGATCATTATATAATCTTTTATTTTTCTTTTTACAAGGTTTATCCAGTGAATGAAACTTTAACATCGAATGAAGGTGAAAAATTTAATATTCTCTTTCAAACATTTGAGAATCAGAATATTCAGGAAAAAAGAAACAGAAATTATCTCTCGCAGCTTCACCTAATGCTCTCTGTTTCCTCGATGTTTACTAACAAATCGGTAAGATTTTTTTTTTAATTTGAGAAAAGTGTAGGAAATTATGGGAAAATCGACATTTTTCCACGTGAAACCTCCTCAAGTAACAATATACCAAAAGCAACAAAAAGAAAAGCTATAAACCCGATCATTACATTGTATGCAGGGAAAATTAAACAAATAATTTATGTGTTTTATCTTATGTTTATCCTACTCGCTTTAAGTGACAACACAAAATAAATGCCATACTTGTAAAGGAAGTAAATTTGAAAAATAATTTTTACGTCTATTCTCTAAAGGCGGCTACGTTTTGTGTCTGAATTAATTGTCAATATATGTGCAGGACACACTCTTTGAAATACATGTAAGTGATAGATCTTTTTCCGATGCTATTGTGGCTTTTTCAATACTTTTTCAATGTGCTGCTTACTGAAGGTTGAATGCATTAGAATTAGTATTAATACTTTTACAAATGTTACATAATGTTTAGCAATAAATGTGTGAAATATCACGCAGCAATATTTAAGGAAATGAATATTAAATAAGTCATTGTTCAGTTAAAGTCGAAGTCATGTGTAAAGGATTGTCAGGTAACAAAATAAAAGGCCCAGTGCCAAGTTCTCCCAGAACCTGAACATCAGTAAATTGTAAATATTGAACAAATAACACAATTATGAGATTTTGATTTCATCATCAAATCCGTTTCATTCTGTACAACTTGTTCTTTAAGAATGCATCTATCGGGAGCGCTGTAGGTTAATATTTATGTTTTAAATAGCTTTTCAGCGAAAACAGCAAAGAATAATTGATGATAAAGTTTACTATCTACATATCCTGTATTTTTATGTCACCTGTGTTCATTATAATAATTCATCTGGCATGCTTCCTCGGATAGACTAAGATATTCGATGAGATTGCAAGGGATTCTTTACATTCTGAACTTTTTAAAATTTAGATTAAGTAAATTTATAAAATATTTTGGAAAATATTATGGATACATTGAAACCTATTTTAATAAACCAGATATTTGTGTGATTCAAAACAAATCACACACTATTCACGGGACGGGAGATATTTTTTAAACAATTGAGATTTTAATTAATGTACAGTATTTAACTTCTATTTTTATTCTTTGAACTGAGAAATTATATTCATTTTCTAAATTTGTTCCCAATTTCAACATAAAAAGTCAGCAGTTGTCACTTATTTGCATGAACATCGAATGTAAAATTTATGTGTGTTTCTGTATATTTTGATCAACCTACTGCAAATAAGTTTCGTGAATCCAGAATATCAAAGTTTGATATACATGTTTCTCTCATAAATCCATTTTAAATATATGTCTAAACAGTAATATATTATTTTCTATTTACCATTGAATTCCTTGCCACAAGATCTTCAAAATGAGAAGTCTGAGATCTTGGTCTTCTTAGACATATACCTTTATTAGAATTTAACGGTTCAATCACCTTTTAGCAAACTTGATCTTCTTTCAATTCTACATGTAAAATGATGTCAACTTCCTTAATTTACCTCTTTGTGCGTAGTTTATAACCTAACCTAATTAATGCTGTTGCAGGATATATATATATATATATATATATATATATATATATATATATATATATATATATATATATATATATATATATATATATATACATTGTATATATATATATGTATAATATTTGTAAATTTTGATTATGAAAGGTGGATAATTCACTTGCTGGTATAGAGAGGCTCTTAAACCAGTCAGTTTGCAATGATGTGAGTATTCTGAAACTTAAAATGTACTTAGCATATTCCCATGTTCATATAAACAAATCAAAACTAAAAACCTCATTTTTTTATTATTTCAGAATAATCCTTTTTTGGATGACGTGCTATACTCTGAGGTAGAGATTATAAATGTACATCTTATAGAGTTATTTATTCATTGTCAACAAGTTGAAAAAGTTTCTCTTTATTTGAAAACTTTGAAAAGCATTTAAAATTTATGCCAATGTCTAGTTAATACTTTTTTTTCAGAAAGGGCAAATATAAAACATAAATGAGCTATTAATTTTACACTTGCAGAAAGTGGAAGAGCTACTGGGGAGTATATCAAACATCGTGGATATTATATACGATATTGACGGGAACACTGCTCTCACTCATCAGATGCTAAATTTGATCACCTGGACGATGCATTCTCTAACCCGACATTCCCAGTATCTTAACGAAAACTCAATTGTATGACATGGAAAATAGTTTTTTACCCCTTTCTTAGTGATGTCTAGAATTTCCTTATTTTTCTGTTTTATTACTTCTTATTAGTCCCATACCAGTGAAACAATCTTTCCAGGTTGGTTTTTTTTGAGTAAAGATCTAGTTTGCACTTCGTTTCGTTTCGATGAATTTTAAAAGCATTACGGCCGTTTGACTTGGAGCCTTAATTTTTAAAGGGTTCTAGACAACACATACCGGTAGGGGACTTCTATTGCTTAATTAATATTCTCAGAATGCTTGATTTTAATGTTACTGATGTATAATTGATACTTCAGAAAAAAACCAACTTTTTCATCTAATCAGTAAGAGCTAAATATTCTTTTAAGTGCAATAAAAAATTTTCTATGCTCACACCCACGTCACAAAAACGAAAGAGAGAAAACATTTCATTAGCTCAGAAATTGGATTAACCAATGAAAAAGCGGGTTGTGTTTCAAGTAAGTTATATCAAAGTAGTAAAAGATGGGGCTTGGTCTTTCACTCACTTCTCCCATCGCTAAAATTTCACTACGATCTTATTTTGACTTCAGTTTAAGAATTATGTTGATTAAATAACAATCAGAGCCTTTGACGTAAAAGGAGATGGGCGAACAGTGAATAAAATGCTTCAAATGTATAAAAGTCATAATCAGTTTTTTAATTTAGTATATATAGCTAAGTTTTTTGCATTGAAAGGTCTGAAATTTTGACGAACAAACCTTTTCTGCTAAAAATTCTTTCGGCAAAGATCATTCTGTGACTTTTTAAAAAAAAAAATGGTATTTTTAGGGCTCCAACCCAAGTAATAAAAATCTTGAGTATCAATTTTCTCTTCGAGACTAACACGCCAACTACTACGTAAGTTATACCACTCATTACAAATTCCAGTCTTTAAATCCTGTATGTGCTATGACCCTTTACTAAATGGGCTTCAAATATTTCTCGAAAAAAAAAATGGTCTTAAAAGTGTTTTTTTAAACCGAAGAATGCATATTTTTACGCATACTTTTAGTATAATCTTTATAAAAACAAGCATTCTGAGAGTATTGCATTAGCAATACTAGTCCCCTACCGGCAAGTGTAATCTGGTTCCCGTTAAGAATTGAAAATGCCATAATTCTGTCCAAAATCAATGAAGAGGAACGAAATGCAAACATGTTCTTTAACTAATCAATGTAAAGTCACATACCAAAAATCAGCTTAATATCTGAAAGCGTTTAGAAGAAAATTGCGGAAAACCCTAAAAAATTGAAAAGGCAATAATTCCGTCATAAATCAATGAAGCGGAACGAAATGCAAACTTGACCTGTAACTCGTCAAGATACACTCACACACCAAAATTCAGCTCAATATCTGCAAGCGTTTAGGGAAAAAGTGCGGAAAACCAAGTGGGACAGACAGACAGACGGACAGACTCGGAGGAAACCTATAGTCCCCTTCGGTTTCATCGGTAGGGGACTAAAAATGGATAGAAAACCCACTCATCTGGGAAAATTGTGTTTTAGTATGAAGAATTGATTGTTTTTGCCCTCTTTGGTGTATACATATATGCTATTTCATAGACGAATAATTTCTATCTTTATGAGATTTCTGCGATTTGTGGATAATTTACATAAACTATACGTTAATGTTAAATGAAATATCAAAGAAATTTTATCATAATTACGATTTAATCTTTTTACTTTTTGTTTGTCGCACAAAAGGCTTTTTGCTCGCCTTAAGCTTGTTCGCCCATCTTATTTAGCGATTAACGATTGCTGATTGGAATATAAAGAGGAATATATTTGAATAACGTATAAAACGCAAAGGTATTACACGTTTACTTTTCTTGTGCTAAGTTATGGTTATCATTTACTTATCGTAATCAGCTTCGGTCATGTGAGGCATCCAGCAAATGTAACCACTTGAGCATACTATGCACTGACAGCTTCATGTAAATTTATCATATCATTTTAAGCACTACGGAACAATTTTAAATTTCCTTTGATATGCATACATGTATACAGTTACGTGGTGAATAAACGTATTCTGTATTGTGCTCAAGAATTCCATTCACTTCCGAAATGAAAGTTTACAATCCCCCTTTAGAGTAAGTTTATTCCTTCTTTGGCGTTTCGAGTCGTACATCTATTTATTCGTTTATAAGGTAATTGACTGACTATTCTGTACATTCTGTTCCATTGCGTAGACTACAGCTTTGACAACTAGACATTACACTTCCCGATCACTTTCTTTTTGAAGGAAAGTTCAATCTTTCCCTTAAATGTGCAGTTTATTCGTTCATTGTTGTTTCGAGTCGTACATTAATTCATTCGTTAAATTATTAGGTAATTGACTGAATGTTCTGTACATCTTTTGTCATTAGGTAGGCTTTAGGTTTGACATTTGAATGTTACACTTTCCCATCTCTTTCTTTAAAAGAAATACTTGTTTTGATTTGAAAATGTTTTGCATATGCTTTATGTTGATTACAAAATGGCTACATTTTAATTAATGTCATTCAACAACTATAAGATTAACAAATTTCCTAACATCATTGTTTATATTATATATTAAATTATTTTTGATCTTTTAGAGTTTCATTTTGGGGATATTTAAAAGATTTTCATTAAGGATAAAGAGTAATTTTGAAGTTCGACCTTTCATGATTAAATACAAAGGAGTTATGGATGACGCAATCAAAGGTATGTTTGCAGTTATCTTTTTATTTGAAACTTAGGCATTGTTCTAAATAGAAACCCTAGAAAAAAAAAAGATAAACGATATGTAAAAGAAGTATTTATATTGTAGTTTTTGAATTATTTCCACAACATTAACATTACATGTCTGCTCTAAAGGCTCTTAATGAATCTCATAAGGAACGTCTAGCCTGGTTTATTTTTTTAATTAATTTTTCATACTAATTATGCATTTTAGGCATGGTGACTGTTCTACGGTCGACTGTTTTTAGAATTTATGCAAGAGATGCTCGAGCTAAACGCAAAGACATTGATTTGAATTTATGGGAAAGATCAAGGACTCAAAACTGTCAAATAAGATTAGAAGAATATCTTCAGCGCACAGAAAATATATCTTCTCTGGTATTTTACCTTAATTTTGTGTCTTTTATCGCTTATTGTATAAACAAACAATTCAAAACGAAAAGAATTTTATTGAAATGTTATAAAACGCAAAAATTCTGATTAGAATGTATGCATTCAAAGGTTACAATCGGATAATAATGCTTAATACTTGTTTAATAAAAGCTTTCATACAAAGGGAAAGAGGGATCCAAAATGCAGTATCTTCTCATATTACACTACAAACCAACTTCATTTAGTTCTTATTGTGACTTCATAATACACACAGCATATATCCATTTTCTAATTTTCTTTATTTGCAATTTAAATACTTCAGGTCCCTTTCATGTTGAGGTAACTCAAAGGCCCAGGTGATTTATATGTCCCCGCAATCGAAGATTTGGGAAATATTAGTTTTTGACCTGTCCGTCCGTCTGTCTGTTTGATTGTTTGCTAGGGCTTTCATAGTTCGCATGTGTACTTCTTACAAAAAGAACTTTGTTTGTGTAACAACATAATGGACCATTTGGCCTTGACAATGGAGTATGATCTACTTTCGCAAAATTTTACCAAACTTTAACTTTGTCCATAACTTTTGAATGGATGGTGCTATGGCTTTTATGTATTTCACAGGTGTATTCCTGACAAGAACTTCCTTTCTGTTTCAACCTCTTTACCTTGACCTTGGAGTTTGTCCTGCTTTTGAAAAACTTAACTTTGTCCATATCTTTTGAACGGTTGGTGCTAGGGCTAAGGCTTTTATGTTTCACATGTGTATTTCTTAAGAAAAGAGACTTTCCCATGGGTTTGAACATTTGTGACTTTTTATAATTGACCTTGGAATGTGATCTACCTTTGAAAAACTTTAACCTTGGCCTTTTACATTTTGAACGGTTTATGCTCAAGCTTTCAGATTCAAAATATGTATTACTTGTGACAAGGCCTTCCCTTTGGTACCAACGTTTTTTACTTTGACCTTAGGATTTGACCTACTGTTGAAAAACTTAAAGCTTGGCATAAGTTTTGAATTGGTGGTGCAAGGGTTTTCATATTTCACATGAATATTCCTTGTGACAAGACCTTTCTTTAGGTACCAAGTTTTTGATCTTCTGACATTGGATTTTGACTGCATTAGAGAATTTTTAACCTTGAACCTAGCTATTATACGGGGGCATCGTGTTTCACAAACACATCTTTTTTTTTTATCAAAATTTTCCGTGGCAAATCCGTCCTTCTGTCCGGCCCTTAACTTTTAACATTTCTGACTTCACAGAACCATGCACTAAACCCATTTGATATTTTTTAAAAGCATTTTTAAAGGCGGTGCAACAATTTTATTCAATGAAGGTCTAAACCATTTTCAAAAATAGAGATGAAAAAAATGTGAGAGAAGTGTCTGTTCATTTGCAAATCTTCTACCCAAGACACACTAGACTAGAAAAGGCATCATTTTAAGTAAAGTAAAGATCAATTAAGTGTTGATTCAGGTTTATTCGAATTCACATCATTGAAACTGGAGCTCGGTGCTGGTACAATAAGGAGTCATCATTGAACATGAGAATAATATTTCATATGCAAGCATTTCCATGTATTGTATATTCGTATAATCACGGTTTTTGGATCAAGGATGAAGTAACATTTTTCTATCTAAAATAAAGGAAAAATCTTCAAAAATATCGTTCTCAAGAACAGGAGGACAAGAGCCAGTCATATTAATATTCAAACATTCAGGTGGTATGTAGTGTATATCCAATCATAATCTCTGGAGACAAGAAGTGAGTGAGTGAGTGAGTGATTTATTGGTTGATTGTATATTGTTAACATCCCATTCGAGAATTTTCACTCATACAGAGATGTCACCGTATGCCGTGAAGAGCTTAAAATTTAGATCTATTATCATCATTCAAGGCAATTTAGCATTGAATGTCATTTATCGTTCCAACACTTACAGTGATACAGGACCTCGGATTTTACGGTCTCATTTGAAAGACCCCTGACTTTCCCTTTATGCCGGGCCCTTGGCAAAAGAACAGTCACTGTTTACATGTTTACGGCGAACGAGAATCGATTCCGGGCCTCACGAAGCAAACCCCTACCACTAAGTAACCGTGACCGGTGGTCACAGTAGAAGATTAAATTTCAACATGGTTGAATTTTGACACAGTATAATACACCTGCATGAACAATAAGGCTACAACCGTTAAGGCTTTGTAAGCTTAACCAAAATCACTATTCATTACATTTTCAATTGTGAAATACTGAAATACTGTAATTTATTAATTGAATAAAAATGATATTCTCTCACAGTGTGAAATGAAACCAAAGTGATATTCTCTCACAGTGTGAAAGGATATCAAAGTAAGCAAAACATAATTTCTAGCCTGTCATAAAATATGTAACTAAACCATCTTGATAGAGACTAAAACTGCCAATTTCTTTCTTCCCATATATCTTGCTAAAACCCATGTTACAATATTTTCAAGCTTAACTATATGATGTCTCAACCGCTCAACTATGACATCTAAGTGTTAAGAAAAGACAGAGAAAAAGGGAAAATCACAGAAAATGTAATAAACAGAAAATTCAATGTTTAAAATGTAATAAACACAAAATTCAATGTCTTGAAAATGTAATAAATAGAAAATTCAACATTTTGTATTTGGATATGGAATTTATTTTGCTTCGCACTCATGAAAATATATATATATAAAAAAAAAAAAAAAAGCCTGTCCCACTCATGAAATAAATTATAGATCCAACTACAAAATATTGAATATCCTATATGTATTTTACATAATTTTGCTAAAATCATTAAGTTGATGTCTACGATAAGGGGTTTTATTTATTTGAATATTTACTGATTACCAAGGCGAGTATTGTGGCTGATGGTTCTCTAGATTTCACGATTTTTTCCTGACTTTTGCTCAAAAGCAAGCGTGCTGTAAATCAACTTTACATTGAGTGCGACTAACCTTTTGGTGAATTCAATAATAATGACCAGAAAATTGATTTTTTTTTTAATCCAACTTATCTCAACACATTATTCAAAAATATACACGCTATATAAACGCCAATTTTTATGTGAAAGAAAATGATTTGAGAAACATGATGTGTAATGAAAATGTGATAGTCATGATTTTATATTGATTTTAATTAACAATATTTTTCTTTCAGATCCCATATTGAAAATTATAAAATAACTTTCAATTTTAAACTTGATTTAAAATAAAAATGTTTTAATAAACATTATATTTATTAAACATTAAATGTATTAAACAAAATATTAAATAGTTAAATAAATTTATAAACAACTTCCTATAATTAAAGTCTAGAAATCTCTAGAGTTCTAAAATTACAATTCAACTCTTAATCTTGAATAAATAAATAAATAAATAAGTAAAATAACCATTGGTCAGTATTTTCCCGCCAAAACCTTTAACCCCCTTTGTGCAGAGTGTCCAGCTATTTAGTAGCCCAGGAGCAGTCAGTATGTAAAGTTGTGTTTGTTCTTTTGGAGAATTTTATAGACCACTGACAGCAAGTTGACTTTTGACACTCTTATTTCATATTAATATTAATAATTGTATGAATGAAAAGAGGCATATAGGAGAATTTATTCCAGGCAGGAAAATAAAAAATTATTGTTTGACATCTTATAACGCGTTCATTTTCAATAGATGGTTTTCCTTTAGCATGGGTTATTTCCCCATGCCCGCCGTATTGTAGGTCAACATTCCCAGATCCCTTCATTGTTCAACCAAGTTCATTTTTTTTATTTACATTTGCAAATATATTTCTTAGACGAACCTATTGAAGAGAAAATATGTTACTTAGTATCGCGATTAACTCACATTTATCTAACTTAATTCCGCTCTTTTGCAGCGAAGTCAAGGAAACTTTAAATCTCGCGAGATTTCCGGGGCATGAATTACTTACGCTAGTGACAATCGAATGATTCGAACAATTAATGAATTAGTATCAATAGTATGCCGAAGGTACAATGTCTTGAAAAGGGTTGAACTTCAAATAGTAGGTTGTCTAATTTGGAATGTTTAGATTTTTTTTATCAGCTTCCAAAAGTAACGATTGTCAGAAAGAAACATGGTTGAATTTAATTAGAAGAGTCGTCTTAGTGAAAAAGTATCAATGAAAATTTAACACATGAGGACTAGATTCTCTTAAAATTTATAAACGTGGTTCAGCGAGTGTTCAGCAAAATATTTCACCAGGTATTCTTTTACATCTGCCTTTTAAAAACATATGTATGCAACAACACATTGCCCCCAGCTAAAAGACGTTTTCTACCTTCACCGCGAAGTGATCGCGATATCCAGTATTCTGTAAGAACTTATTAGGGGGTCAGAGGTCATGGCGTGACCGAATCAAACAGCGAGTTGATATCTTATCTACATATTTCTGTCACGGTGACACTGCATGGTTTCGGAACTTCTAAGCTATTAAAGCGATGAAAAAGATAAAATTATTGAAACATATGTGTTTTTTTTTTTCATTCAACAAATGATCATTAGATCTTTCTTCGGTGTGAAGAATGTTTTTAATTAGCCTGAAATCACGCTTACCTTTTTAACCCGAAATTCCTATGAAGGTATGTAAACTGAAGACGATACCACCGCTTTTGACTTCATATATAAAGAACCCATACAATAATAGTAAGATTATTCGCAGTAGCGATCATTGTTTTTTCATTATGAACAGATATTTCCTGAACTGGACTGCTGAACATCAATGTAAGTAAGCGCGTCACAACATAGATACGGCGGGCCGTTTGTGTAATAAATACAGTTCTATTCGGAGTATCGTCTCAAATGTAAATAAAAGTAATAAAAACAATGTTAAAAAGTTCACTGGGAAATGAACTTGGTTGGTACGTGATCAAATCTACTGAGAAGCCCTTCGGGCTTCACAGGATTTGATCACGTGACCAACCAAGTTCTTTTCCCTGTGAACTTTTTAACATTGTTTTTTTATTTCTTAAATACTAGGCACTGAGGTAAAGATAACACTGTTTTTCTTATGAATATACGTTTGTTAAAGCCTCTTTTAATTCATAATTACAATATTGTAAATATTTTTTCCCAAAGTATTCTGGCAATTTCTGGCAGGCCTGATTAAAATTGGATGCTCAAAGAGGAAAATTCACTACTTTGACCATTCCAGTTAAAGAACGATGTTCACTTACTGCCTTTTTGGCCTGTGAATTTCTGAAAAAGTGAAACTGCTATAGATTTTTATTCACATATCCTGATTTTTAGTGCAGGTTGATAATTGTGTGTTTGGTCATTTTTTAATTCACCCCTTTGCGAGTTTTTCTAGGATGGAAAAATGCGAATTCGAAGTTTGACGTCTCGGCCAAAAAATTAATCGTTTAGGCATCTCGAAAAAGATGAAGAATCTTAAGGCAACTTTAGATTTTATTAAATAATTAAGGTCAAGATCTAGTAAATGAGTTTAGACTTTCTTCTTGGTGCTAGATTCATTATGACGTCATAATTGATTTAAACTTAATTTTTCCCGTACTTTACGGCTTCAATAGAATTGTGTAGAAAATAAAGCACTTTCATGGAATTCAGTTTGAAATCATGTCAAATGTAACCCCGATACCCTTATTCCGTTTAATATCGTTTTAAAGTAGAGATCAAGAAGATTTGAAAAACCGTTTTCTGAGAGACTGTAGGCAATATTGATACATTTCCTTTGTCTGAGATGGAAAAACCTCCCATATTTATGCCAGACTTTCTTCATTTTTCATTGAAAATGGGCAGTTTATAATATGTTTTTCCGATGAGTTTACCCCAAAATTATGTCTGGATACACCGTATTTTACCAAGCTATATTCGTAAAGGATCATTAAAAGAATGTGTATCTCAAATCTGAGAAATCTGTGGGCAACTTTCATTCACTAGATCTTGACCTTAAAATTGTGTTGTGTGTGTTACAGAGACCACATTACAAATAAGTAGCAGTGAATGAAAGTAAGTTTACAGCATATAATGACACCAAACCAGATGGATAATAAGAGAATTCAATTGAAAGTCGCTTGATCAAATAACTACAAGATAATATGAAATTCTTTATAAGTGCAATGTAAATGTAGTCTGTTTTTTGTCTTTCAAGAAAGGAGATGGCGGTTTCATGTTTTTTTTTAAAATATTTTGGAGGGTTTTTTAAATTGAACATTGAATGTAAAAAATGAATGCAGTTCCATTTTGCATAACATCTAAATTAAATAATTCGATTTCATGAATTTTTGTAGAAACACACATTTCAACCTCAGATAGAGGAAATAATCTCTACGTTACAACAAGCCTTATTGTCTGTCCTTGTTAATGGAGAGGGTGGGATATCATTAGACTTGGGGCAAACTACAATGAAAGTAAACCGAACATTGCTAGCAGATAGAAGTGAAGGAGTAAAGGATGATATTCCAGTGCTAGATCAGGAGGAAGAAATAATATGTGAAGTATGTTCTTTTTCTCTTTGACTTTGATTTCCATGAAATATTTTTTTAAAACATTGTGTGTTGTGTTTGCATATTCGTTTGTTTTTATACCCCCGCTCCGAAGGAGAGGGGGTATACTGTTTTACCCTTGTGTGTCTGTCTGTGCGTCCGTGTGTTTGTCCGTAACAAATTTTCATCGCAGTTTTCTCAGCAACTACTCATCACAGATGATCTAAATTTTAGCACACCATTTGTTTAGGCATCCCAGATGGTGGGATTCATTTTTGTTGAAATCCAGTGTCAACTTCCTGTTTATCCATGCGTCCGTGCGTACCAAATTTCCGTCGCAGTTTTCTTAGTAACTACTCAGCGCAGATGCTTGAAATTTTAGCAAACTCTATGTTTAGGCATGCCATATAGTAGGATTCATTTTTATTTGAATCTGATGTCAACTTCTTGTTTATCCATGCGTCTGTCCGTTACAAATTTTCTTCACAGTTTTCTCAGCAACTACTCATCACAGATGCTTGAAATTTTAGCAAACTCTATGTTTAGGCATGCCAAATGGTGGGATTCAATTTTGTATGAATGTCTATATGAGAGTGTATATTCCCATCACAGCGGGGGTATTACTAGTGAGCATTCGCTCACAGACTTCTTGTTCTATCCGTACATTAATTTAGCCTTCGCTGCGTTGGTTTATTATTACAAAACAAACATCATAAATAGTGCTGTGTGTAGACTATTCTGTAACTTATTTTTACATTACATATGAGTTAATAATTCTTCATAGCTACGGTTTTGTTTTGTTTTGTTTTGTTTTTTTGTTTGTTTGTTTGTTTGTTTGTTTTTTGTTTTTTTTTTTTTTGCCATTTTTGTTTTGTGACTACTTGAATTCATTGTTTTCAAGTGGAAAAACCATTTCTGGTACGTTCATCATTTTTATTTGGTTTATATACATTTGTGATAAAATACATTTTCACATTTTAAAGTTTTTTTTTTAAAAAAACTTTAAGACATCAACCTTGAAAGGGGGATAAAGAAGAGCAGGTACATAAATCTTCCTCTTCTGTCACTTTTTCATTCTATAGAACATTCCCTGTTTCACTCTATAACGCAGGAAATCTACTTTATGCCTAATTTTCGCCTAATAAGGTGGTCGTCCTATTAGGACACCTATATAAAGTCTGGATTTGTGACATTTTATTGATAAATTTATATATAAAAAAATTGGTATATGCAGTTGTTCAGTTTATAATAAATTTATCTCAATTTGTCTTACTTTCTTATCCCCTCGCAACGAAGTAATAAAGTAATTGGGAATATGGAAAGGCGCTTGTGTGTGTGTGTGTTGGGGGGGGGGGGGGGGGATGCGTTACGCAAGTAATAATTTTTATTGGGATCGATGTGTACTTTTGTGAGGGAATGCTCTCCTTTGCGACTAACTTGTTACACAAGGAGTTGAGGGATCTTAATGATGAGGTTTACTAAGGGTTCTTGTCGTCAGAAACAGAGTGCAAAAAAGTACAATTAATGTAATGAATCAACAAGAGACCCATGGGCCACAACGCTCTCCTGAGTCAATATGGTCCTGTTGTTCTTCATCAGCAACTTTTTTGCTACTTTATATTCCTATGTAAAACTTTGATCCCTGTTGTGACCCCACTCCACCCGCAGACGTTATAATTTTAACAAACTTGAATCTAAACTATCTGGGGATGCTTCTTTATTCATATCAATAATCATGGCTTTGCTGTTCTTGAGAAGAAGATAGTTATCACTATGTTATACTCTGAAAGCTCATTGTGGCCCCACCCTATTCCTGGGGGTCATGGCTTGAACACCTTCTGCACTACCTGAGGATGCTTCCCAATCAAAATGACTGATCTTGAGATAAAGATTTTTTTATATATTCCAATTATATAAATTTGATCCCCATTATGGCTGCATCCCACCCCACCCCCGGGGATGGGGGGGGGGGGGAATTTGAATAAATACTTCATGAAGATGCTTCCAAATAAATATGACCAATCATGGCAATGCTGTTCTAAAGAAGATTTTTTAAAGATTTTTTCTTAGATTTTCCTATGTAAACTTTGATCCCCCATTGTGGCCCTCTTGATCCTCGGGGATCATGATTTGTACACTACCCGAGGATTCTTCCATATCATTATGATTAATCATGGCTTTGCTGTTCATGAGAAAAAGATTTTTAAACTAAATATTTCTATGTACATGTAAAGCTTTGATCCCCCTTCATGATTGTGGCCCCACCCCACCCTCGGAAACTCCAGAGGTGGGATCAGGTGCCTAGAAGGAGTAAGCATCCCCTGTTGCAGTCACTCTCGCCGTGAGCCCTGTCTTGATCGGGTTGACAGAATAATATAAAAATAATGGTCTAACAGTTCCTATGAAACGTCATCAAAATATGATTAAATAAATAATAATTTTGCAAATATTGTGTATGTCATGGCTCATTAATCATTTCAATTAATTGAATGAAATTACAACAGAATAAGGGTAAATAGAAGTATACTGAGGCCATAAATAGTTTAAAGTCCCCATCATTCAGATTTTTGAAATACTCTATTTTAAAACATTGGTAAGAATTTTGAAAATCGACATGGGAAATTCGGACTGGAATAATTAACAAGTTCATCGTTCAAATTTGATTTATTTATATTTAGTAATACTATCTTATTTCAATCATATTTCAATATCCAAAGAGTTTTTTTCTCAATAAGAAAATATGGCCATAATGTTAAAAAAATTGAGGTATTTTCTGAGAAATACTCAGAGGTTACTAGCATGAAAAATAGGTTATTGACATAATTATTTGATATGGTGCTTTTTCATTCCTATCGGTGGAATTTTTGTCATTTGAGTAAATGCCATCTTTAATACAAATAAGCAACACTAATAGATTCTTTTAATTCAAAGTTTATTCTTCAATGAAGAATATAAAAATAAAAGGATTTATTTAGTTTTATCATTAAGTATTTTTGGGAAGATTGACATAAGATTTTTGATATTTATTTATTTTGTAATAGGAAATGGAGTATGATGGTGACAGAAACCCATACAAGAGTTCCGATAATGGCCAAGTCGTGGATACCCTAGTTAAACAATCAAGATGTTATACAAATCACTCTTTACCAATTGTTATCAAACTAAAAGATTCAAAAAAATTCAAACGGATAAAACCTGATATTGATCCTCATGATCCTGAGCAAATGATTTACCTAAAACTCAATGCCTCGAAGAAAGCCATTTTAATTTATCTTCGTCCAGTTGGTATTAACGTTTTTCAAAGGAGAAGAAATTCTCTCTATACTTTGTATGTGCGACGAGACCAAAGACCCACATCTAGACAAAACCACTTTTCCAAGAAGATAACTGTGGATGATTGGTCAGAGAATCTAGGACTCAAAGTATTTGTTCACAAGGGAATATGTGGAGAAGGTCATTGCTTCTTGGGATTAAAACCAAGAAACGGTGAGTACGATTCTGACAAGTGAATGTTGACTTAGTACATGTCTCACATTACATGCTTTTTCATGTAGATTGAATGTCTATTTGCTTGTGAGAGTTTCTAAGTCGTATGAGACCTCACCAAATACCTGTTCACCAGATACCTATGAAAGCCTGTATTTGGCACTCAGGGCCATTGAACATTAAGGTTGTTTATCCTGCCAACGCCTACCGTGATTGGGGACCTACGTTTTTAAGGTCATATCCGAAAAGACCCGTGACCTTTTATTTAAGCTTTATTTGTGACTTTTGTTGGGAAAAGGAAACAGTCACTACCTGTTACACGTCTTAGACTTATAACGAAAATCGAACCCTGACCTCCCAATCATGAAGCGTGCGTCCTATACTAGGCGTTTTGCACTTGCAAAGGATGTTGACTAACACATAAACATGATGATTTTACAGTTTTAATGAAAAAGGAAATCACAGTAGAAAACCAGGCTGCTGTAACAGAGCAAAGCAACTCGACTCAACAAAACGTTTCAGTTACTTTTCTAGAGGTGGAATTAGATGCCATAATCACTGCAGTAGGATGTGCAGCGCAGATAAATAATTCATGGAAAGATGAAGCATGCACGGTAAGAGCTTCTGAAAGAATTGCGATTTAGGGAAAGGGGAATTCTTTTTTCGAAAACATTAGATCTCAAAATGACATAATTTAACAATCAAACTTATAATTTAAAGATCGATTCATTTTAATTCTCATAGGTTAATAATGATTTAAATTAATACGTATCAAATCAAAATCGTGAAGGTAGATTTTAAAAGCCAATTCACACCTAAATGTATTGCTACTATATATATATATATATATATATATATATATATATATATATATATATATATATATATATATATATATATATATATATATATATATATATAGCCTCTTCCAATGACGAGCGTAACGGAAGTAAGATGTAGATGTCCAGATATTCCATCGGACCAAAAAGATGTCGTCTACGGTTCGTCGTTTCTGGCTGTCAATGAAATCGATGTTCAAGCGGCATTCCTTAACTTTGATATAAGCAACGTAGCAGTCTACGGGACGATTCTAGCAATCCTTGTCCTGTACACTCTTTTAGTTTTACTTCTGAGAAGAAAAGATTCTGAGGATAGGGAGAAGGTGCTCTTTTTTATTTTACGTTAATGAAACATTTTAGAATTATAGTTGTAAGTTAAAAGTATAAACTATAATGGTAAAATCTTCTGTAGTGATTCTCTTTGCTAAAAAAATGACGTGGGTCAACTAAACAAACAATTTATACATGTCATGTCATTGGAAGTTGTTGTCCATTTATTAAAAAAAAAAAGAATAAGATAATTGTTGTCCCCTAGACTTAAAAGAGTTTATCATTTAGTGGACGCTGGGCTTCCTGTGTGACAATAGCAAAGACGATGGTTATTTCTACCTAATCACTGTTGTCACTGGTTTGAGAGCTGGTGCAGGTACTCAATCCATCGTTAATTTTATTCTGTACGGTGAACTGGGAGAGAGTGGAGTTCGAATTCTTAGTGACGATCTGAAGAAGGTAAGAATTGATTTTTAAGCAACACAACTTTTATATTTTTATGAAAAAATGCATCTATTAGATTTGTATGTATCAGATAAGTATGTCGAGACACATTTTTCTCATGATTATGCACGTTTTTGCTTTACCAATTTCAATTTTATGAATAAGCAAACCTCATCAAGAAAGATATTCTGATAATCTAAGTTTAATACACATAGTATTTTCTAATACAGCAAATGACGTATTTAACGTATTTCGGCACATTTTGTCAAAAAGACGATTTTGAACAGACCATTACAGTGTATTTCCTATCTGTACTTTGTTGTCATGAATATTTTATGAAGTTTCACGAGAATGTAATTTTTAAAAATAAGAGTTCTTGACTTTTTTTAGTCCTGTGACTCCTGCAAAACAGATGGAAGTACAGACACTGCAAAAAAGCCATCTCTATTGTCCAAATGAAATTGTCTAAATTGAAAAATGAAAATGTCCTGTTCTAATCATTTGTAAACATGAGTGGGTGTTGTTCTAATAAGCTGTAAAGCTTTAACTCCCTGGGGATAAAATATTATAAGACAGAGAACTAGAAATATATCATTATAAAATCCTTTGATTTATGGAGACCCTTTTTCATTACAAGTTTCTCAAAGCTATAGTTCTAAAGCTTAGGAATGGCATGCATGGCACTTCCTCTAATTCATGTCCTGTTTCTCTTGGGTTGTATCCTAACTGTAGTAATTGTGCAACCTGCTCTTATCAAATAAAAGTAAAAACGGGTAACATTGATACTGTCTTGGACTTTTATAAATGCTTTAACTATTATGACATACAGGATGTTTGAGTACTGTTCTGTTGCAGAACAAAAAAGAAACAAAACTGAACCGAACATGAGAAATAAAGGTAATGAATTAATATTGAATTAATATTGTAAGAATGCCTAGCAATTTAGTAGGATTTCTTTTTTCTTTAAGGGATTTACAACCGGAAGTATCAATCGATTTATCATGTCAACCCCGAAATATCTGGGAAGACTGTTAAATTTGTGGATTTGGCACGATTTCTCAGCGACTGGAGCGGAACAAAATTGGTATTTGACGAGTGTAACATTTGATGATTTAAAGACCAAAGAAAGGTAGGGAAACGGCTTTTAAAGCTTCTAGAAATCACAATTACTGCATAAATTCCTAACTTTTAACTTCCTCCATGACAATTTTTTTTTCATTAATAGGTATGTGTTTCAGTGCGATACTTGGTTAGCATTGGACAAGGTCAGCGGACACACTGATTGTTTGGCAAACGCTACTGATATGCATGACTCTAAAGTTCTGTTTTCTGATCAGCTATTTTACAATATCACTGAAAATAATCTGTGGTTTTCTACAGTTTTCCGTCCGGAGCAGAGTTCTTTTACTCGCGTACAACGTCTATCATGTATACTAGCGTTTCTCTTTTTAGCAATGCTTGCTAATGCCATGTTTTACGAAGCACCAGGCACAAAAGAAAAAGAAATTTTGAAAATTGGAATCATCTCCTTTTCTCTTACTACATTATTTACATCACTAAAATCCGTTGCCATCACAACTCCGCCAATCATTCTTGTGACACTTATTTTCCAACATAGCAGAGACAAAATAACTGAATCGGAAGAAGAGAACAGCGACGAACTTATCCGACCAAGAAGAAAACGCCTACCACATTGTATGTGTTACTTTGCATGGGCGGTGATAGTATTAGCAATTGCGTCTTCATCTTTTGTGCTGATTATGTACAGTATGCAATGGGGTAAATCAAAGTCGCAAGAGTGGCTTTCATCGTTTATGGTTTCATTTCTTTCGTCTGCAACATGTATTGATCCTTTAAAGGTATAAGTAATATTTTCACACTATGATTATACTAAACCAGAGTGGATTTTTTTTAATGCGGTGGTAAAGTACACTCTTATACAAAAAACACAAATTATAAACTATTATATTAATTTTTCAGATGCTTTTTATTGCTGCTGTATTTTCATTTATCTTGAAAAATCCTGCCACGAAAAAAACTATTGAATTTGATAGCACTCTTCTGAAGAAATACTGTTCCTTCCATTCCAGCAAGAAATCTAAACAATATGTTGGTAAGACCTTGAATTTTAAAGCTAGTTACTCATTCTAATGGGTACAAACATTTATTATCCGATATTAATTTTAGATAATAATGTCTTTAGGTGGAATGATATTGCATTTTTTGTTGTTAAATGTTTCAGCGCTGAAAATATGTTTGAAATAACTTTATAAATGACTTTCGCTAGAAATTTCTCATTAATTCAGACATATGGTATGTTATCGGACTATCATGTATTTTTTCTGTACGAACACGGTAGTTCACAAAGATTAAGTAAATATTTTGAAATCAAATGACCCGACGTCACCCTACTAAAGTGTTCGGAACCTTTTATTTTTCGGTGTTCTGCAAATTATAATACCAAGGAGTTCGCAGTACCTCTGGCGAAATTTAGCGAGACTAAAGCGAGATAAAGTAAATTATTCACGGAAACGTGGCTAGAGTTGCTGCTTACTACAAATGTCGTACTCGTAAACAATCCTTCAACGTGATTGGTCAGTATTATCAGTGGTATTGCAGGATTCTGTGTTTCATATACAAAGTAGTATTGATTCCATTGAAATCAAACATCCAATCGATGGGTAAAATGGTAATTAATTTGAGAAATTTTACTATGGTCGATCAAACAAACTGATACGCTGTTATTGGAATGATAGTACTATCAGTGAGTACAATTGTCAGGTGCATTCTCTGATCAAAGACACGTGTGTTCACGGATATTGTAATTTAAAAAAAGAACTTTGTTGTCCATTTAAATGCCGAAGAGATGCTGCTCGTTTTCCTTATCCTTGAAGTGCTGGTGTTCTGAACGTGGCATAGATTACATTTTATTATGTACATTTTTAATTAACAAGGTAACAACAAATTATAAATGCCCGTGACATCTTTCGTAGTTTCTCATCTTTGTAAAAAAAAAAAAAAAAAATCATAAACACAATTTTTTTTTTTTTTTTTTTTTTTTTTTTTTTTTTTTTTTTTTTTTTTGCAGTCCATTTAATATCGAAACGTAGATTGTCCTGAATCACGTGTTCGAAGTAAAATGTAAACACGTAGTTGGCTAGTAAACGTTGCTATTCATTCAACGACTGGTCTAGTCGGAAATATCTGACGTTTTCCTGGCTTTTTTACGATTTTGATATTTTACGTGCCAGGAAAACGTCCGAACCGGCGCCATTAAGAAAACTGGGAATTCGCCGCCTCCAACCGGAGGCGGCATTCTCAGGTTGATTTTCGATACTTGCAAACCGAATTAAATGTCAAACTCACAACTTATCAATAGTACAATACTTTTAGTACTCACCAACATCGTTTTTATGGTTCGTTTATAAAATATACAATCCGATGAAAACATTTTATCTGACTGTCGAGATTTGTTTTCATTTCGTGCATTTTAAAATCTTGCAAGTCCTGTATCGAAATGTGGAATGATGTTTTCTTTTCATCGATATTTGTGAGAATACTAGAAGCATTGGGCTATTGATAAATTGTTCGGCATTTAATTCGGTTCGCAAGTTTCGAAAATCAACCCGAATTCCCAGTTTTCGTAATGGCACCGGTTCTGACGTTTTCGTGTCACGTAAAATATCAAAATCGTTAAAAAGCTAGGAAAACGTCAGATATTTCGGACTACGACTGGTTCATTGTTCGTGGTTAGATCCGCTGTGCGCATTAATAACAATAGCCATATAAGGTAAACAAAGGTTGTAGATGATATTACACAATATTTTCTACAAGAATATTGGGCGATTTTTGAAAAATTGTCACTACTGAACTCCAGTCTTTGCCCTTAATTATCACAAAAGAAAATAGTATGTGGATTTTGATTTTTAACACTCCTCTTTCCTTTTTAAAATCATGAAAATCTTTCAAAAACACATTTTTCATAGGACTTGCATTTAAAACCGGTTCCACCCTGTAACCTAGCTTTGAAGGGGTCAAGCTACACCACGTGTCTTGAATTTAAATCACAAAAAACATTAGTGGGGGTGTGACGTGACATCCTTTCAATAAATGAATCAAATCAGTTTTTAAAAAACACGATTTGTGTCGCACAAAACCTTATTTAAAGTCTATTCATTCAAGAATTTATATCTGCAATCTGCTCTTGCTGATATGTTTGTATAATCTCGGTTTTAGTCAATTTCAATAATTTTTTAAGCAAGTAAAATACACTAAGATACATCAACTTTATTGTTTTGAATGGTGTTGCCGTGTTACAGAAAATTAGAATTTAAAAAAATTATAACACTACTCTTCCAACCGTTTTTCACTAGATCGAATTAAAATCAATTATAATTTTTTTAAAAAAAAAAAAAAAAAGAAGTGAAATACCCTATAATACACATTTTTCTGTAAGTTTTTTTTTGTAAATATTGAAACACGGTGTTAACATGATTATTAAAAGCATAAATAATTGTAAAATTATTTTAAAACGCTACTACTCCTACAGATTTTATTTGTTCCCCATAACGCAAGATTGGAAAACATCAATGTACATAATACTGTTTATGAGAAATTTAGAAAGTGTGTCAACTTTTGATGATTCTTCTACCATAGTAAGTACAAAGCAGTAAAAACAGTCTCATCAAAGACTTCTGGATGAAAATTTCAGATTAAGAGAAGATACTAATGTGTGTGTGTGTGTGTGTGTGTGAGGGTGTGTGTGTATTTTACTCGTCCAAAATTTTCGCAAAGTTACCGACCATTTCAATATGAAATCAAGATAAAATGAGAAATGTTTTAAAATATGTTCTTGATATAATTTTTAGAACTTCTTGGATCAGTATTTCATAAAACGCAACCATTCAGTAATTCGAAAATTCAGAGTATGCGAAAAAGACAAGAAGAAGCTGCTTCAGCAAAAAACAGTTTTCGAGATCTCGTGGTTTCATTGGTATTAGCTGGAAGTGTTGTGGCTATAGGGTATACCGAGTTTGATGTCAATGCCTATTACCTTCAAAACAATATCAGAAACTACCTTGTAAGCGATGGATATGGCCAGTTTGGATTTTCAGCGGTATGAATCATGTACTCGTTGGCAAATTTGCATCAAAGAGACTAATTTAATAGGGGAGAAAATAGGAAAAATTAGATTGACTCTGATGTCAATAATTTGATTTAAAAAACATACAATTTTGGCACTTGACTCTTCTATTTTATTTGATTTCTTTGAAAATTAAAGAAAAAGGGCTTCTAAATAGAAATTCTTTATCAGAAATTCATGCTCATTTTTTTGCCCATTCTATTTCAAAGTCTTTTTTTATATTCAACTAACTTTTTTTCTTTATTCAGGTGAATAGCACTGATGGTTTCTATGAATGGTTGAATAGTACGTTTATTCCTGCATGTTACCCTTTACAGAAATACAATGAAGTCAACCTGGATATTTTAGGAAAACAAATGTTTGGCGATTTGGCAAGCATAAGAGTTGGACCTGCTCGCATAAGGCAGGTTCGAATGCCAGAACGTACGTATTTTCAAGTATTTTATTTCATATCATTCCAAGCTCAACATGTAAAAAAGAAACTAAAAAACGACTGTCAAGTTAGAATTTTCCTTTGTACTTTTATGAAATCTTCATTCGTGTTGTCATCAGATGAAGAGGGAAAAAATGTCAGAAGATAAAATTTATTCCCAAAATTATGAATGTATTAAGTATAGAATGGTCGACAGTATTGAAATATTCGCATGCTTATATTTACTTTCGTTGTTTTTTTCCTTAATAAGCCAAGTATGAAATTGATTTGAATGCCATTTTCGTGTACAAGACTCGCGTAGAAATACACACGGAGAAATGCATGTTAAAGTGATTTCACAAGGACGCAACGAGAATTAAAAAAAATTATAACGATATATAGGGAAAACTTCAAATATTAAGTGCATTTTTGTTAGTTTTATAGCTTTAAAAATGTAAATAAAATGAATTGATTTCAATTTTTGAATGTCGTTAGTGGGTAAATAACTCACTTGCACTTGGGCATATTTTTCATGAAGCACTTGCGCGTTTCATAAAGTGTAGGAGTCTGCGTGATTTACACACCAATTTTCTCTTTAAAACAAAGAAAGATGATGAGGGTCCTCATTTTATTTCAAACTCGTGTCTCTGGCCAACATTCTCTTGTTAAGTGTACCATTCGTTAGCTAAGTGTAGTGTACTTGTAAACCAAATATTCAAATTTACATTTGCCGTGTTTTCTACTTAAGAAATTATGAAATTGATTTGAATGCCAAGGTTACTAATAGTAATTTCTGTATTTTTTTTTTCAAATTCTACTTTTCCTACAGCTTATTTGTTTTTAATAAAAAATGCACAATTAACACAATAGTTACATCATTCTTTTTTTATTTCTTGATTTTAATAATAATTTTTTCATTTTATTATCATTTCGTCATTTTGATTATCATTTTTGTCAAAAAGTCTCTCCTTCTACAGTTTCAGGAAGCTCTAAACACTGCTCACTTTTTACATGGTAGTTTAAGGCAGTTGAGTGTTGTGCCCCTTGAAGCAAAGTAGAATAAATGACAATGTACAATAAATATCACAATGTCAAATAGATTTCAGTATTCTTAACATTATATCAGCCAAGATAAAGTAATTGAAAACATAATTTGCATGTATTTTCCCAGTGTATAAAACAATAGTGATTTTCATTTACTAGTATTTCATTGTCTTTGAACATTTTTTACTTGAGAAATAAGGCAGATACCCATGTTGAAAATGCACTAGGGTAACACAGTACCTACATCTTTATGAAATTATGTAATTTTCTGAAAATTCAAAAAACATTTTGCTAGTGTTAAAAGCTTCCTTAAGTCTAATTTCAATAAAACTCTATTCACTACTAAACTACTAAATTATACTTATGTGCTTTGTTATTTGGTGTTGCTAAAACGCGGAACGGAAAATATACTAGGTTAAATCACTAAACAAATATATAAATCCTTTCAGAAACGATATACATTATATAAATTGTTCATATTCAGTCTTTGATTTATGAATCATTCTATGCAATCGGTTTGTGCCGTTTTTTCACAATTTCAGTTTTACAATTTGGTCACACAGAGCATATTTATTATGATCGCTTCAGGTGCAGCCTGTGGATTGCATCAACAGTTCTGTAGTTATAATAAACGTGTCTTTTTTTCAGTCTTCCCCTAATGCAGTGATCAAATGTACAATCTCTCTCTCTCTCTCTCTCTCTCAAAACAACATTCATAATAAATGATCAATAATTTAGTTTTGTCTTCGATGAATAAGTTTGTTTTTTTAAATAATAAGATTTAGACGATTGATAAGTGAGGTGTTCGGACATATTCTTGGGTGTGAGTCTAATTAGTAGGTATTTTATTGACCATCTCATGTACAGTACCAACCAGACCCAACCTGACACCTAAGCAGTCCCAGAAAGCAGTCCCCGGGACTGCCGTGGGACTGCTCTGGGACCGCTGTGGGACTGCTCTAGAAAGCAGACCCAGCAGTCCCTGGGACTGCTTTCTGGGACTGCTTTGTTCACTCATGCATGAAAAAGGTTCTGAGTGACATGATACCTCCGCCCCTTGTGTATTCTGAATTTGCAGGCTCCCTGTTGTTGTTTTGTTTACTTTCAGCAGAGAGGTGTTTAAGATAAAGAATTAAAAAAAAACCAAGGATTTCTTAGAAATGTTTTAATAAGTAGAGATAGATTTACATGTAATTACTAAATGTCTTCAGGGGCTGTAAATTTACACAACTGTAGTCTAGAATTAATTTTAAAAAATGAAAGTATAGTTAAAAAGGGAAGAAAGTAGTTAAAAAGGGAAGTCAGGAGATGACTTTTATTCCTTAAATTAAACTTTAATACAGGTGTTTTAAAAAAATATCTAGGCCTATTTAATTAATTAATGCTAATTAAAACTTCAATACAGGTGTTTTGAAAAAATATCGAGGCCTATTTAATTAATTAATGCTGTCAAATTATGTACTCAATGTTTGCATTAGCACTATTTAGAAAACAAACAAACAACAAACAAACTTGTCATTACTGTAAGACATGTTAGTTCTGAGGGGGGACGAGGGGCATGAATAAATTACATTGCTATGATAATGTTTAGGTCACTCAGGTAATCTATTGCTATCTAGTCGTCCGTCCTCGTGCGTCGTCCGTACTGCGACGTTCGTCATGTGTTAGCTTTTGTACATTTTCAGCTTCTTCTCTGAAAGGGCTTAACTAATTTCAACCAGTTTTAGCAGATAGCATGTATGGGTGAAGAAGAACAAAAATTATAAAATTTTGGCCCCTGCCCCCGCCCCCTGGGGCCTGAGGGGTGAGGCTAAAACCATCAAAATTAATGCAATCTTTAAAAACTCTTCTTCTTTACTCCTGGACATCAAGCAGTCAAACTTGTAATAAGCATTGAGTCCTCTACCAAAATTGTGAAATTCATGGCCCCAGAGGGCTGGGGTTCTGGTGTTAGGGGGAGGAGGGCTCTGTTAAAAATGTATTATTTCTTTTAAATTCTTCTTCTCTGCTTCTGGTATTCAGCAAACAAATTAAATGCATATTTATTATGAAAAAGAGTGCCTCTTCCAAATTTATGAATTTCATGGCCCTTGGGTCAGGGGTTTTGATGTTAGGGCGGGGCTCTAATGATTATATAGTGAAAGTACATTGATTCTTTGAAAATCTTCTCTGCTCTTGGGTATTAAGCCGGTGAACCAAATGTATGGTTATGATGACACGGGCGCCTCTTTCAAAATTGTGCATTTACTGATCTTTGGGTCAGGGGTCCTAGTGTTAGGAAGGGGCTCTAATGATTACATATACATAGTGAAAATGCATTAATTCTTTGTAAATCTTCCTTTCTGCTCTTGAGTATTAAGCAGTTGAACCAAATGCATAGTTATGATAAGCAAGGGTGTCTCTTCCAAAATTCTGAAAGATGTGGCCCCTGGGTCAGGGGTTCTGGTGTTAAAGCGGGACTCTAAAAATGATATAGTGAATTTGTATTAATTATTTGAAAATTTCCTCCTCTGTTCCTGGGTATTAAGTCGATTAACTAAGTGCATGGTTATGATGAGCAAGGGTGCCTCTTCCAAAATTATGAAAGACGTGACCCCAGGATCATGGGATCGGTGAGGAGGGGGGGGGGGGCTTATTTATTATATAGTGAAAATACATTAGAGCTTTGAAAATCTTCTCTTTTTATAAGCAAACAAACCAAAGGCATGGTTATGATGAGCAAGGGCGACTCTTTCAAAGTTATGCATTTCATGGGTCAGGGTTTTTGATGTTAGAGAGGGGCTCTTATGATTACATGTATATAGTGAAATTGCAATAATTCTTTGAAAATCTCTTCCTCTACTCCTGGGTATTAAGCCGATTAAGTAAATGCATGGTTATGAAGAGCAAGGGTGCTTCTTCCAAACTTCTGAAAGACTTGGCCCCAGGGTCAGGTTTTCCGTGGGGAGGGAGGGGGCATATTTATTATAAAGTGAAAATGAATTTAAGCTTTCAAAATCTTCTCCTATGCTCCTTGGATAAGCAAACAAACCAAATGCATAGTTATGATGAGCAAGGATGTCTCTTAAATTGTGAATTTCATGGCCCTTGGGTCAGGGATTCTGGTGTTAAGGCGTGACTCTAATGATAATATAGCGAAATTGCATTAATTCTTTGAAAATCTCCTCCTCTGTTTCTGGGTATTAAGCCGATTAACTAAATGCATTGTTATGATGACCAATGGCCTCTTCCAAAATTGTGAATTTCATGGCCCCCTGTGTCAGCAGGGGTTCTGGTGTTTTGGCGGGGCTCTATTGATTATATGGTGAAAATGCATTAATGCATTGAAAAAACTTCTCCCCTGCCCCTGAGTATTAAGCAAACATCCTAAATGCAATAATGTAAATGTATAATTATAAATAAATGTGCCTCTTCTCTGCTCTTTGATTTCCAGAAGGCAAACAGAATGCAAAATTGTATAAGTGAAGCTAATGAGAGTCACTTACCTTTGCTAAATTGTCTTAATCAAGAAATCCTAGTATAAAATTTAATTTAAAGGTTATATATATATATATATATATATATATATATATATATATATATATATATATATATATATATATATATATATATATATATAGCACTAAAAATGACCAACGACACGAACAATAATAATTGTCAAATTTTCGGGACGACCTGTCCCTTCCTCAGGACAAAGAAGAAAGTTAAGAAGTCGTAAAAACAAAGGAAATAGAGAAGCAAAAACAACTAGCACTACTACTAAACTACCAAACACTAAATATTTACAATGTTACATGTTTAATTTGGAGTTTATAAACAGTTGTGAACAAAGAAATCCGGAGCGCTATGAATTGGGTCCGGTCTATCGGGTGATCTCTGGTGAAGTGTGATTTACATAATTGAACGAATTAATTATCGCTAATTAATTACGACCAACAGTAAATCGTACATTGTCTTATTCTCTCAA